TAATGAAGCAGGCTATTGGTCCATTAAGAGAACTTTCCCAGAACACTAATTAACGAAGACCTTTTCCGCAATTAGTTGATTTAACGAAGCTAGCACCACAACTCGTTTGAAGGTGAAAACAAAAATAGGAAGAAATCGTATTGAGAGAGATAAACCAAGGGAGATCTGTAATTAAATTTGCTAATTCTTTCATTAAGGAATTTTTTTAGAATGAAAATTCATGTGGTGAATTTCGTTTAATTTTTCTGGCAAAAAAGGTGTGGTTCTCAAGTGATTGTGGGATGAAAATATGATTCATGAAATAGTTTCTCAAGTGTCTGTAGTTAAACATGGTTGGATACCATTAAGCATTTGTAAGTTTATAACTATTTAAAAAAAGTTTTTAAATAGTTTCAAGGATTTTATTTCAAGAATTTTATTTCAAGGAATTTCAAGGATTTTATTAAGAAGGTTTACCAAATTATTCCTAAGAACATTTTTTGTATTCACAAATTTCTTCATGTATTTTTTGGCACCACAATGATATTTGTTTGGTTAAAAAATACTATTGCTTGAAATGTAAAACTTACCTTATTTAAATTATAGTTTAATACTTATATAATAGTTTATGGCAACATACCTCCTTTACAGTTGACAAAGAAAGGTTCAACAGGGATATTGCCACTTTCGTGGTTTCCAGAAGAATAATTTGCGCAAGTGGACCTGCCATGACAAACTGTCCTTGTACGATCAAACCATTCGCATTGAAAGTAATACATATGGTTTGGCACTTATAGCCGGACTGATTATGTAAATAGCCAGCTTTTACTTTTAAAGATCTGGGGACTTAATATAAGGCTGTTAATATAATATTGTTATAATGTTAATATAATTATGTTAATATAAGGCTTGGTGGGAAGCGACTGTCCATCGTTTCTGAAGTTTACACTCTCAAATGATTGAAGAATGAAGATTCGGGTTCTATCGCTCCATCCATGATGTAGCCAAATGAAGGAAAGTACATTCCTGTGTTGCAGCTATACAGACCTGTAAGCAGTTTGAAGCCGTCTTTCCCAGAGGCATATACTCCCGAAAGTTTATCCCTAAGCCAAAGACACAAGGACTAGTAATCAGCCTATTAACACTAGTGAAACCAGTTAAGTGCCTCCCGTTTATACTGAAGTAGAGGCTAAAACATCGTACTACGCCCTGAACTACCAGGACTCTCCTTTCCAATCATAGAGGTCACTATGCACGGAACACATGTAGAAGGTTTTTCTCTTATTGAGAAACTGTAAACAATGGGATGAAAGAGCATTTCGCAGCGAGCACCATCCTACAAAGAGGAAACCACTAGGAAGAAAAGGAGCAGAAAGTAAAAATCTACAAACGAGGAGGAGAGGAGAAGGGAAGGAGGATAGATTTCTGGGGCTCCAGGATCGTGACACCAGACTCAACAAGGTAATGATCCGCTAAAGGGCTAGCGTACTTTGGGATTGCCACACACGTACTTAAAGAATTAACGCATGAGGGCAGTATAAAATTAAATATAAGCATAGTTAAACCATGAAAAATGTTTAAATCATATATGAGTTGCGTTCCTTTTTGTAAAATGAAGGGAAGTTATTTATAAATACTCAAATTGTTGTATATCTAAAAATTAAATAGTACGCGTCACCACCAGATTCTATGTGCAAAGCATTTTTTCTTTAATAATCAGGAGTTACATCTTCGTCAAAACTATACTGGTATAGTTGTAAGCCCATCATATATTTATTTATTCGCCCAACTGGAAATAAAAGTTTCCCTTTGACAAATAAACAGAATGAATGCGTTATTTGGCTTTGGACTGTCATAATACAGTAGACTAAGGATTATTCTGCAACACGTTTTACTGCATCAGTTTAAATGTTACCTATTTTCGTTACTAATTGTTTAAATTTTTCTTTAATTGTATTCTTTTCTGAATATTTTCTTAGTCTAAATTTATTAAAGAACGTTACGTGTGTATTGAGTAAAATAATAGCAATTTAAAATTCGAAATAAAATGCCAATTTTTGTTTTTAAACTTAAATTTAATATGTAATTATATTTATTATTTATTTATTTTGATCCCAGCGAAAATAAGCAATCGGTTTCATTTTGCTATTAGACATTTCATCATGGTTCAGAAAGGAATGAAAGAAGCAATAAGAAGAAAGTAAAGAAAAACAAAACCGTTCTATTTATTGAGTATTTCTCATAATCTCACAACAGTGTGGTAAAATTAATTTAGATTTTCATAAAGATATCTTTATTACTGCGAGATGAATAGAAAATAATATCTTCAAGAAATAGAAAAATATCTGCAACATTAATGAATCCAGCAGTATATAATTTTAGATTAATAACTTATCCTAATTATTGAAGATACGATTTTGTTATACTTTACGGTTAATGCAAAAGCTAGGAAACTTTCATGTCAGTTACTTAAAGAAATCGATTATACTCCATTTTCCGCCCATTTTGGAAAATCTCTTTATGTTGTTTTCATGCTGAAAAGCAGCTTGGCATTCATTTTCTCCTTATCTGCCATGTTAGCGCCTCCCGAATATCAGCTTTTGTTTCCACCGTTCCTTCTAAAGACAGAAGTTGTTGCAGCTGTCCCCCTTTTTGTGAAACAGAAGCCTTAATAGAAGTACGGGAAAGGTAAATAATGAAGTATATGTAAATGATGTTCTCAAAATCGTTCACAAGCTCTTTCACGGGCCTTTTAAATTCGTGATCGATTTGGGGAAAAACTTTCCCAAGTTTCTTACTCCTTTATTTTCTTTGAGAAATACCAACTCCTTTATTTTTAAGTATTTGCTTCTTCTTGGGAAACGCAAAACTGCAACTTTCCTTCGCTCCGACCACAAAAATAAAACTCTTTTACTTTCTTTCCCAAAGAATTCTATTTTGATGTCAGCTTTTACTTACTAATTTATTATTTCGAATAACGTTAGTAAAAGAACTCATTTTAAGTATTCGTTTTATTTAAATTTTAGTAATAAGTTATAAAAGGAAGAGTTATTGGTAATTTGTTATTATTTATAAAGCATGAACACATTTGTAAATAAAAGAGTTTAACTATGTTATTAGAAATTAATCAAATAAAATCACATTTGTAATTCAGTCATAAATAGAAAAGGCGCAGCATTTTATTATTTCGGTGCAGAAATAAAATTACATTTCATAAAAAGTTTTACAGAAGAGTTTAAATCTAAAACTGTAAAGTTTTCCAAGGTTTCACGACAGTAATGTTTATGCTAAGAGTAACTGAGGAATTGATACGAAGAAAATGTGAAATATATATTAGACATTATATCAAAATTTTCTTATTTAAGCAGAAACTAATGGGTATTACTTTTCCTTTGCTTGGAATTATACTACTAAATGAATACTTATAACTTCTACTTTACATCTGAGGAAAGTGTTGGAGAATTAGTTTCTTACAAAATCACAAGAGTACTGTTAATCAAAATAAATTAGTTACTTGAATTAAATTGAACACACTCGTTTTTCCTTTTATAATAAATACAATTTCATGCCCAAATTACGCTGACATTTTGAGTAACAGATTTTTAAATAGGCTTTAGAATATCATATTTATGAAGGCCAAATGCCTTACACAAATTTCATTAAAAAGCAATGATTTAGTTAATAAGAGATTTTTCTTTATTTTTTGCTAAGTTACTCACTTATGAGGTACGAAAAATATGGCGGATATAAAAGGTATTGACTACTGGTCTGTGAAATGTGTCTAAAATCATATTAATAAACATATTATGGGAGGAAATGAATAGCATGCTTATATTGTAATAACTATATAAAAGTAGGAAGTAATAAATACGAATTTAGAATTCAACATTACTTTGATTCTAAAATGGCATCGATTGCAATATACATCCCTCTAATTTTTAGTATCGCTATTGGAATTTTAACCCAAGGTAACCAAACAGATGAAAATAATAAAATATATTTGAAGAAGATTTCATTATAAAAGAATAGAAGTATAGTACCTGTTTATAACAGCAATAATAGTATCTGTTTATACGTAAATTCTTTATTTCAAACTTTTAACTGAATGAGAATTAATAACTGAATAGTTCAGAACCACCAGCAGCAAAAACCAGCAGCTAAGGTAATAATAATGACGAAAAAAATATATATATAGATATTTATATTTATTTTCTGCCAGGAAATGTAAAGGCTGGTTCGTCTTTCTTCAATTTTCCACGGGCACCAAGAACAGCACTTCGCGAACATCTAATAAGCAATGCTATTCAGAGATGTTTGTTCCTAACCTAGGACAAACTGCTTTTTAAAATCTTAAATCAACATGCTTTCACATTACGCGAACAGGTGGTTGGCAAATGACGTTTTCGTTATACCTCGATGTAATTTGTGGGACAATATCCACGGGAACTGATAAATAACATTCCCACTTTGTAGTGAAGGGGTGGTAAAAATATTTTGTCTGTTTATTATTGTAAGATAGTATTGTGGCTTGTAATAATAGTATTGTGATTTGTGGTGAAGGGGTGGTCATAATATTTTGGTTGATTAAAGTCATAATGTTTTGGCTGATTTATTAGTAGTAGATCATAGCTTCTAATCACTTTAAGACATCATTTCTACTTTATAGTAGTTATGTACTATACATTACCCATTACCGCCAGAAGTATTTTGCAAACATTCTTAAAAATTAATTGCAGTTTTCCCAGATAGATTCAACTGCTGAGTGAACTTTTACTCCAGAAAAAAAGTGTCTATACAAAAAAGAAAATATATCTCCCGTTCATATCCTTATTTAATTTGGTTTTTAATTTGTGACTGTTTCAAATAGCTGTTCTAAATATATTTTACTCAGGAGAAATTTAATTAAATATTTTTATTAAAATTTAGCAAGTGCACGGCTCGTGTGTATTAAAATAATCTCGCCGCTTGCGGGATTAAAAGCATTAATTTTAAACATTTATATCTTGAAATTAAAAAGACGAATTCTGATTAATTTTTGGCTCAGGATTCCTAAATATGCGGGTAATACGGCTAGCAAAAGCTCAAGCAGGACTAAACAATTCTAATGAACTATGCGAGAATATCACATAGGATAACATGGCTGCCAACAGCTCTTTCTCTAATTTCAAAAAGTTCCTTCTTACCCATACGTAACAAATTGCATCCTGAGCTGACGAAAATAGAAGTGACAGTACAGGTAAGATAATAGATTAATTTTACTCATTTATTAAATAAGTATACAAATCTCGAAATGGTGTTAATTTAAAGATGAAATATTATCACAGCAAATGGTTTTCTGTTATGCACGATTTTAAATTTTATAGCCAGGTCGAATGGTGTAGCATTAAGTGCAGCACGTTTATTCGATGAATAAATGTTTTGTTCAAATATTCATGGCAAAATAACTTAATTACTGCATTTAAGTTATCCTTTACAATGTTTGAGCTTGGCGACAAGAAGGTAAATAAACAGTACAGATAGTGCGATTATATGGTGCTAAGACTATATATATGAGGATTTGGGAACAAGACAGACAGTTGTTGAAGCACAAAATAGCAAAAGCTTGGAGTTTGCGACCACAAATATCTTGGCAAACTAATCGTGCCTATTCCAAACCACAGCATTTACATTTTAGGTAGTGTTGCGGAAGGAAGAAAACAAAGTGGTAGAGTATCTTAGCAGCAAACAGAAATAGGAGCAAAGTGCATAACTAGGTACAATATGGAAGATTAATTAAACAAAAAGGTATAGGTTCTCGAACATTTGAGTTCAAGTTACGAGTCAGTTACGTCACCATTGCTATGTAAAAGTGATGTGATATAGATTAATCGAAAACTGATGCAGTCATGAAAATGTTGCTATAAAAAATTGCTGTTTTTGGAATAAAGAGGGAAAATACTTAAATTAAACTGAGGAATTAGGGGCCTTTTGCTAAATTAAACTTTGATTTACATATTTTTTATCTTAGATATGTATATCTAATAGTTTCTGTCGGCACGCCGAGATAACTTTGAAAGCAGTCACTTTGTGGTCATGACTGAGAGAAACTGTTGTGTAGAAGATGACCGGAAATTGCGGTACAATGGATAACCGCATGGAATTTTGGAAAAGGCGTTACGAGCTTGGTAGTCAAACATAATTTATTTTTGGATGCCGAATTTCTTAGCACATACCTTCTTAGCTGGTAGGAGAGCTAAACGTGCTCCGCAGTTTTAGATACACAATTACATCTTAACTAATGCAAAATAGCTAATGCATAGGCTAAGCGATGCGTTACTAGCAGGAAAGCGAAGCGGCGAAAGAAGATGTGTAATTAGTTGCAGTACTATTTATAAGCTCCGAACGCTTTGTTTTAATTCTGTGTAGCGATTGAACAAAAGTTTACAGCAATGCAGATACTGCAGAAAAAATGTAAGTACCTTGAAGGAAGTTGTGCTTTAACTGAAGATTAAAAATTTAAAGTTCTATTGTCAATTTGTTTTAATAAGTTTAATTTGTTAATAAATTTCCATCATATTTTTATACGTTGCACACACAATTTGCTTTAGGTGCTTCAGGCACAGGTTTTTCACGATCATGATGTTCAGCTTTGCTCGTGCTTGGTTGATCATTCTCATTTAAATCTGTGGTTTTCTTGATTAACCTTTATCCATTTAAAAAATTAATCATTAAATAAGTTATTCGCAAGTGGGATACAATTTGAGAATAAATAATGAAAACTTACAATATTTCTTTTATTTATTAAATTTTTCTTTGACGCATACAGAAAAAATACATATATTTGCAATCAAATAATTACATACTTCATTTCTTACTACAGCTTACATGGCGTTTCGATTTCGATAGGATTATGACCTTGGACAAAAATGACTAGACATTTTACTTGTCCTAAATCTTAAATGCTCATCGTCAGACTGTTCTTTTCAAATTTTCAACTGTGGAAAAAATCTGTTCACGTAAAAATACTCCCAAAGAAAGCACTTAATCTTATCACAAAAATTCGTAATTGAGAGGGTATTTATGTTTTGGCAAATATGATAAAAGATTAAAAGATAATTCTTTGAATAGGACTTATATCACAGAGTAAGTTTGTAATCCATTTGTAGATTTTCTGAAGTTTTACTTGCGTCGTTTTTAAAATTATTCAAAGTTGGAATCAAAATTATTAAAACCTACTAATTCCTTCAATAATATTTAATGTCATAACAATGCTAATTAACTTAGTGGAAGTAAATTCGTAAACCGCATACAAGAGCTGAGGAGCCGCCAGTGGTCCTCAGCTCTTGTATGCAACAGTTTGAGACCATTGGAATACAGTATGATGAATAAAAAATTCCGTCTTTATCAGCCTAAAATTATGTTCCTGAGAAGGGAAACCTAATTGAATTTCAAAAATCTCTGGGAATTACATAGGTGTGCTAAAAAGGAACTTCAAATTAAAATAATAAAGCAAAAATACCTGTATATAGGAGTTTTTGTGTTATTGCATCAGCACAGAAATTTACCATTTCAGTTCTCTCTCACGCATTAATTAAACGGGTGTGAAGGCGTTTAAACGTGGTCTGAAAATCTGCATGCATTAAGGTGTGCTTGGAAAGCTAAAAATATGTCTAATCTAAGAGTATGCATCATGAGATGTCTCATAGATTTAGCATATATGAAACGTAAATAAAATATTTCAGAGTCATAATTTTCTTGCTACAGTTAAGTAGAAGTTACCACAAATGAACAATTAACAGTTTTTCTTGTAAATGTTTCAAAGCATAATGTATTCAAATATACGAGTATAAATTATTTGAAATAATCTTAAACTCTCTGAAAACGTGCTGCTAAATGGAACGGCATAAATTTTTAGAAGGAAAGATTTTTCACGATTCAATCGATTCAATATATTCACAAATTAAGTAGCCCTTCTCAAATTAAAAGAAAAAATTTCTTATTTTATCCTGTTTTTTGATTTTACGGTTCACATAATCTATCTTCTTTCTTTCTTTCAATTTAATCTGGAATTTAAAAAAATTCAATCTCGTTTAGTGAATGAACCATGTTACGATTAAGATTAAATGAAAATCGGACAGAATTTTCTAAGATAAATGAGATTCTGGGAAATATCGAGCTCCTTATTAGTATTTTTTCGTTTAATGAATTTAAGGTTTCTTTTACATTTCATTATTTTTTAATTACTGTACAGGTCTCTTCAGCATAATTAAATTGCAACATCATAAAATATTTTATTCTTATATATTAATGCTTACCGATCCTCAAAGAAATTTGAATTGTTCTTTTATTATATATATTAAACTATATATTTCAGTCATTCTTTTTAAAATTAAATCAAGATACTCCCAGTTCACTCTCTTTGGAAAGTAAAAATAATCCTGATCAGTTCATGATCTTTTCGCACATTACCTGACCCACTTCTATAGATCACCAACTTCTTATCATAAAGTCCATATATATATATTCTTTTGTTTGAACAAAGAAATACTTAAATCTAAAATTAAAATTAGTTTTAATTCCTCAACAAAATGAATTCCATTTTAATAAGAATGTGTAATAAATATTTTCGGTGACATAGAATATGAAAACTGTTAAAGTGTCGTAAACGTAATAAGAGGGGAATATTCTAAGCAAATATTATATATATTGTTTCTTTTCATTTGATGTCACTTCTAGAGACACATCTCGTTAAGCGATTTCAAGTTGATATGTAAATTAGGCTAAAAAACTATATATATTCCGTGAAATACAATATGTAATTCGATAGCAGTATGATGATTCATCTGCTTTAATATAACAGTATCATTTTTACCATATTGGATATTATGTTTATAAACATATCTTAACGGTCTTTAGTGCTGAATTTGAATGTGTTTGAAACATTTTAGCTACTATATTATACAATGCAAAAATAAATCGTTATTCATAGAAAACATTTTTAATAATAATGCTTGTTATGTTATTTAAGCTTGTTTATTCTTATGTATTATTTATTTATGCTACGTAGTGTTGCATTCAAAATGTCATTACTACAAGTGTTTAAAAATCACAAAATGTTTCGTAATCTTATATTAAATAACATTCAATAAGGGTAGTATTTATGTAATTGATCAAGCAGATAATTTAATTTTATACCACGGAAATAAATGTGTTTTATTTCTTAAAAGTGCTTCACAGTTCTTTCCAAACAAGGGGAAATTAATAACAATTCTGAAATGTTTCAGATTTAAACGGTCACCCAAAATGGTTTCTTAAGGTTTTTCATGCTCTCACTGACATCGCAGTCTTCAAGTCTGCTGTTACTTTCACTCCTACTAACCTATTTTTTTGCCTCTGTTTTGCTTTATTATTCTGCATCATTTTCTTCGCACTTAAGCCACATACAATTTAACAGCAAAACTGCAAAGACTTTAGAAGCAGTATACGTTTAGAATTTCCGATGCAGCATTAAGTGCTGCAATTTTCTGTTTTTTTAGTCTTTTTTCAGATTGTCATATCAATGATAGTTCAAATGTTCAGTTTTCTTACTCTTTCAATCAAATGTTCCGTTTTCTTACTAAAATGACTCAACGTTTTTACTCTATTTACTATTAGCCTTTTGTATGTTTCCTTTATTTATTAAATATCAAGTTCTTGGCGCTTACGCTGCATAAAATTCGATTGAGTAGCAAAATAACATAGTATTTAAAAGCAGCATTATCTTTAGAATTTCTGATAGACGGTCTCACACGCTGGATATAAAAATGTTGTTTTTTCCCCTTACAGCGTTGCCACTGCTAGCTTTGAAATCGTTGCCTTTGTTAATAAAAAATTCGTTAAAGTTATGCAGATTATTAAAAGATGATAAACTAATTCAAAATTCGGGCTTCCAGGTGTCCCTATTCGGATGCAGGATTATATTGTTCATAATTTTATGACTGTAGGTGCCATTGTATTTTTACAAGATGCATACGTTCCTGCAGATCCTTCATTATTTAATTTCTTTAAATACACTCGTGTCCGTAAATTAAGGATAATGCAAAATCAGACAAAAGAAGAGTTAGAAGCAAAACAAATTTGATTTATTTGTAAAGCTTATTTATTAAACAAAAGGTAAAGAGCAAAAAATATGTTATATATTTGATATTATTAAAAAAATTAGCGATGTTTTCTCCCTGGAGCAAATTACGAATAAAACCTATTTACAAAAAACCAATA